CGGTCCATCCTTGCTGCTTGACACAGTCGCTGCAGGAAAGAAACATCTGCACAGCATATGTTTCAATGGACCTGGCGTATATAGCATACTGTTCTTAATATGTTTGCTCCCTTTAGCGCCATGTGTTTTAACCAAGGTCATCTCTCCGAGAAAGGTTGTTTCCCCAGGTGGGGATCTTTCCCTGAGGTTAGGGAGGGGATACAACCCCCTAATTAAGTGCCAGGTGGGTAGTTAAGCTACATAATCTTTACTCCCTGGAATGGAGATAAGAAACGCCTTAACCTTTGTAATAGAAATTGACAGGATTAAAATCGGCTGGTATAAATACGGATGTAACAAGACAATAATCAACACAACCTCATCAGATCCTCATCAGATCCTCATCAGAACCTAACCAGAACCTAGCCAGAGAACTTCACTGGAGAACCTAGACAGAACATGGCAGGAGAACCTGGATAGAACCTGGCTGGAACCTGGCTAAAGAACCTGGTGACTGAACCTGGCTGGAGAACATGGAGAACCTGGCTGGAGAACCTTGCTACAGAACCTAGAGACAGAACCTAGCGAGAGAACATGGCACCAGAACTTGGTTGGAGTTCCTGACCAGAACTCCGACCAGAACTTTGGCTGGAGATCCTGGCTATAGGTCCTGACTAGGCTGCTGACCAACTGAAGGCTGTCTTCGTGTCATTCCTTCTTCGCCGACTCCGTCCACACCTTTGGGGACCCCTGGACCTGCTGGGATTGGACCCCAGCAATTAGCCATTGTTTGGATCAGGGGTGGAGGAGACTAACTGGGAAGGAGTATAGGGGAACTTTCTGGAATGATGGAAATGTTCTAGTTTTTTGTGTTTTTTAAAAAATCTTTATTGTTAAAAGTATTACATAGGTCCTCCTTTTTCTTCCTTTAACCTCTTCCAGCCTACTCCAGTCCCGCCCCCCCCCCCCCCAGGCCTTCACTGCCCCATTGTCTGTGTCCACAGGGTTATGCATATATGCATACAAGTTCATTGGTTGATCTCTTTCCACTCACCCTTACCCCCGCCTTCCCTCTAAGGTTTAACAATCTGTCCACGCTTCTATGTCTCTAGGTCTATTTTTGATCACGTTTATTTGTTTCATTAGATTCCACATATAAGTGAGATATGTGATACTTATTTTTCTCTGACAAATGTTCTAGTTTTGATTAGGGTGCTGGTTACATGAACGTATACATTTGTCAAAATAGAACTGCATACAATAAAACTTCAATATCTATAATAATAAAAGGATAATATGCTAATTAGATCCGATGTCCTTCTGGATGTCATTTCGGACGTCCTTCCAGACAAAGCCGGGGATGGAGTGAAGCCTGGGTCCTGGGTGCCAGAGGGAAGCCAGCACCAGCAGCTGGGGAAAGGAAGGGCTACTCTTGCACAAATTTCGTGCATTGGGCCTCTAGTAATAGACTATTTCAGGCAGGGGAGTATCCCTTAAAGCTGAAAGTCCGTTATATAATAAAGTAAGTTTTCTGAATGAGTATATTAAAAAGATGACAAATTAGTTTATGTTTTTACTTATGTAGACACGTGTAGTTAAAAGTATGTATGATTTAATTTCAGAAGAGAGAAACCAAGATGGCGGCATAGGTAAACACCTGAAATTGCTGCCTCGCAAAACCACTTCAAAACTACAACTAAAAGACACAACGTACATCATCCAGAACCACAGGAAGGCTGGCTGAGTGGAAATTCTACAACTAGAAGGAAGGAGAAAAGCACACTGAGACTCAGAGGAGGTGCGGAAGTAAAGTGCAGAGGTATGGAGGAGCACTTGGAAAGGGCTGGCAGCTGAGGACACGGTTGTCTTTTTCAATCGGGAGGGAGTCTCAAGCTCCCGACTGCTCTTAACTCCAGTTCCAGGCGAGTCTCTGGGAACCCAGACTCATAAGGGGAGAAACTGGACTGTCTGGCATCAGTCGGAACTCGAGGGCGGCTTTCTCTCAGAGGTGCTTGAAGCGATTATCGGGTCACTGAGACACGGGGCGTCTTAGGGTAGGACTGAGGAGCAGCCATAGCTGCTTGCTCGGCCCTGTTGATCCCCTGAGACCCCACCCCACCCAAGCTGTGCGCAGAGGCTTTTGCATATGAAAGGCCTGGCCCTTTGCAATCTGAAAATTACCTAACAAACTGCAGCTGGGTCAGAGAGACCCAGAACTTCCAAAAGAAGGCCCAAGGCCCCACAGCAGCTTGCACTGCTTCACAGCTGGGCCTCATCTGGGCACCTCCAAACACCAAACAAAGAAGAGGAATCTGCAGATCTCTCCATAGCTCCTGCTGGGTAGCCTGAGGCAGAGGCTAAATTAGCACCTCCTTAGAGACCTAAGAGCCAGTGTACCCAGTGGTCAGAGTGGGACCATCCAGATTACAACTCCTCAGATCCATAAGCGACACACTCACCAAAGCCCCACTGAAGCATGTCTTGCCCAAGAAGGGTGTCTCCAGCACAGAAGTTCTCCCACTGCAGACACAGCTGATTCTCACAGCCAATTGGCCTGGAGGTCAATTCCTCCCAGTGATACCTACAACAATCAAGGCTTAACTACAACAAGACTGTGCACAAAGCCCACAAAGGGGTGTACCAAGAGTGTCCACCTCAGGTAATTGGGGAGGCTGAGCCACTGGGCCCTATAGGACACCTAGCACAGAAAGCCACTCTATCAACACAGGGAGGCATAAAAAATGTGGAGACAAAGAAACAGGTCACAAATGACAGAAATGGAGGAAAGCAAACTACTGGATATAGAGTTCAAAACCACACTTTTAAGGTTTTTCAAGAATTTTCTAGAAACCGCCGATAAATTTAGTGAGACCCTCAAGAAATCTAGTGAGATCCTCGAGGTTATGAAAAAGGACCAACTAGAAATTAAGCATACACTGACTGAAATAAAGAATATTATACAGAGTTCCAACAGCAGACTAGAGGATTGCAAGAATCAAGTCAAAGATTTAAAATACGAAGAAGCAAAAAACACCCAACCAGAAAAACAAAAAGAAAAATATCCAAAAATTTGAAGATAGTGTAAGGAGCCTCTGGGACAACTTTAAGCATACCAACATCCGAATTATGGGGGTGCCAGAATAAGAGGGAGAGCAAGATATTGAAAACCTATTTGAAGAAATAATGACAGAAAACTTCCCCTACCTGATGAAAGAAATAGACTTACAAGTCCAGGAGGCGCAGAGAACCCCAAACAAAAGGAATCCAAAGAGGACCACACCGAGACACATCATAATTAAAATGCCAAGAGCAAAAGACAAAGAGAGAATCTTAAAATCAGCAAGAGAAAAACAGTCAGTTACCTACAAGGGAGTACCCATACGACTGTCAGCTGATTTCTCAACAGAAACTATGCAGGCCAGAAGGGAGTGGCAAGAAATATTCAAAATGATGAATACTAAGAACCTACAACCAAGATTACTTTACCCAGCAAAGCTATCATTCAGAATTGAAGGTCAGATAAAGAGCTTCAAAGGTAAGAAAAAGCTAAAGGAGTTCATCACCACCAAACCTGTATTATATGAAATGCTAAAAGATATCCTTTAAGAAGAGGAAGAAGAAGAAAAAGGTAAAATATAAATTATGAACAACAAATACACATCTATCAACAAGTGAGTCTAAAAATCAAGTGAATAAATAATCTGATGAACAGAATAAACTGGTGAATATAATAGAATCAGGGGCATAGAAAGGGAGTGGACTGACTATTCTCAGGGGGGAAAGGGATGTGGGGGGTGCGGGAATAGACTGGACAAAAATCGTACACCTATGGATGAGGACAGTGGGGGGGGGGTAAGGACAGAGGGTGGGGTGGGAACCATGTGGAGGGGAGCTATGGGGGAAAAAAGAGGAACAACTGTAATAATATGAACAATAAAGATTTAATTTTAAAAAAGAAAAGTTTAATTTCACAGAAACGTTTTCTGTAAATATTACAGTAATTTCAAATTTATACTGAATAGTTTTAGTAAATGTATGCATTCACCAGTCACCACGAGTAAAATGCACACAGCTGAGGCGTGGATTAGCACACTTTAGAACATCGCTGGCACACATTAAAAATGCTGCAGAGCCCTGAGCCCTGGCTGGTGTGGTAAGTGGTTAGAGCATTGTCCTGGGCAATGGGTTCCATTTCCAGTCAAGGGCACATACCTGGGTTACAGGTTCACTCCCCACCCCCAGGTCAGGGCATCTGCAGGAGGCAACCAGTCCACAATGTCTCTGCCTCTCTCCCCTTCTCTCTCTCTCTCCCTCCCTCCCTCCCTCCCTCCCACTTTCTATGAAAAACAATGGAAAAAATATCCTCAGGTGAGGATTAAAAAATAAAAAACTGCTGTAGAAAGTCACACCATAACCAAATACCACCTGCAATACAGTGTGATCATGTGTTAATCATTCATCAAACATTGTTTACGAGCAATGACTCTTAGATTTAAATATGTAGACTATAGTTGTAGATATGTAATATTTATGACAGCAAAATGACTACAGTGTTTTTTTTCCAGCATATGGCCTATTTGCTAAAATTTGTTAAAAATAAGTTAATGAACAAAAAAAACACCACATCCTGTTAATTTAATATAAGCAACTCTTGGTTAAAAGCATTTTAAAATTAAAAGGGTGTTAATTTTCACATATGACATACAGACTGGAAATTTTGTCTGTTAAATCAGAAGTTGGTTAAATTGAGGTTCGCAAACTTGAGGGTTTACTGCACTATGAATGGGTACATTTTATTGTATTTAAACTATACTCCAAGAAAGTTGACTTAAAATTTCATCTCAAATCTCTTGCATTAAAATAAATTTCTGGTTTTCAATACCATAAACAGATGTTTTGCTGTCTACAAATTTCAGTATGAAGACAGCAAAAGAAACATGGAAAGAGGAGGAAAAACACTATGACTAAATTGAGCTGGATTAAGTAGTCTTAAATTAAATTGCAAATACTTGATCACATACCTTATAGAAGAAATACTGTACAAGGTGTGCTATTCTCACATAATATAGATGTCCATGACCCAATAGCAATTTCTTTAAATGTTTAAACTTTGGAACAGAATAATCGCTATTTCTGGATGCTTGGCGACCTTCTTTGCCTTTAATACCTAAAAAAAGAAAATCTCTATAGGGTGAGTATTTTATAGAATAAACAAGCCCTGGACTTAGTATTTTCAACTTCCTTATGTGTTATAGCTCAGTTGTATAGTTTAGCTTAGTGTTATTTAACCAAAAAGTGCTTTCTTTAACAATCTCAATGAGAATTACCAATAAGTAGTAAAACTAAGTGTAATTGATAATTACCTATTTATAACACAATATACAACAATTAAATAGAATAATTATTTAATCATTATAAGGCAAAATTATCCTGAGAAAAAATTAAATTGGAAAGTTACTTTAAAGCCACTTAGTGCTTAATTGTGCATGGCACTAGACCGGGTACAATATTAAAGCAAATCAGAGACCTGGGGTTTATGGTCTAGGACAGTGATGGCGAACCTTTTGAGCTCGGCATGTCAGCATTTTGAAAAACCCTAACTTAACTCTGGTGCCGTGTTACATATAGAAATTTTTTGATATTTGCAACCATAGTAAAACAAAGATTTATATTTTTGATATTTATTTTATATATTTAAATGCCATTTAACAAAGAAAAATCAACCAAAAAAATGAGTTCGCGTGTCACCTCTGACACGCGTGTCATAGGTTCGCCATCACTGGTCTAGGAGCTCAAAACTGAAAACTTACAATGAGACAGTGAAGTTCTTTCACTGAATGAAACTCTCAGTAGTAGCCCAAGTTTCTCTGAGCTCAAGCTACTTTAGGCCATTTCCACACTGGATAACCATTGAGTAGAACTAAGAGTTCCACACAACATATGGCTACTTTCAAATGAAAAGAATTTGGGAATCCAAACTGCAGTATAATAATTCCCAAGATACTAATTCCATTGTTTCTCCCCCTTCAAAAACAACAACAACAACAACTTGCTGGGGTGTTAGAATTTTTGCCTACCAAGAGTCTGACAAGGGGAAAAAGGGTACAGGCTGTAGAAAAGCCATTTTTACATGCTAACATATAAATTAAACACTACAGCCCAAACCACCCATAAATAACTCCATATGGAAAACCAGCCAAGCAATGATCATTTCTTAGTACCAAACAGTTAAGTATCTCAAAAGACAGTGCAGCAACATAAGGAGGCAATCTGGCCAGGAGTGGAAAATCAATAAAATTTCCTTCATGATGTCAAAGTGAGATCAATTGTGCTGCCAGTAAGTTTGGGAAATTCATTTTACTTGGATCATATAAAAAAATTCTCAACTTTGTATTTCTACATTCCCCCCAGAAATAGGACTTTGGGATGGACATATTGCATGGTCAAATGACAACCTTCATTCAATTAACAATTATTATACCAAAATTTGAATTCAGGATGAGCAACCAAAATAAATCTCTAGAATATAGGATCACTCTACCTAAAAGCAATACTGATACCTTACAGCTGCCATCTCATTAGATGTTTCTTACCTATTCCCACATGGGATTCCAAGATCATACTAACATCATTGGCACCATCACCTATCGACAGTGTTATTGGGCTCCCTTTTAAATTCTTCACCATTCTGACAATCTAAACATTAAATACAAAAGAGGTATAGAAAAGGTCAAAGCCGAAAGTGAGATTGTACTACATTAGGGTTAGATGCCTCATTCACACTTGTAAATTTTGGCCTTGCAAATAGAAAGGGAGTGTGTGCATATATGTGCAATAGTCTCGAATCTCAGAGGCAGAAGAGCACAGCTTTTCAAAATATAATACTAAAGAGACTTTGACTTTGGGTGGTGAACACACAATACAATATACAGATGATGTATTATACAATTGGATACCTTAATGCTATATAATTTTATTAGCCAATGTTACCCCAATAAAGCCAATAAAAAAGAAAAAATATAATACCAATGCGCACTTGTTTCTAGTTCTGTGAATGTATGAATGTCAAAATCCCTGCCTCTTATCTATATTAGAGGACAACTTGTTTCCCTCTTTTGTCATAGCTTCATGTGTCTTTTCATATCAGTGCTGAACGTGTGACAGTAGAGACCAGAAAGCTGATTTGGGGTATCATGCATAGGGCTACCAGAACAAAAGTGGGAAGTGAGAGGACAATGTTTTGGGGGACCTCTCCCTCTCCCCTCCCTGCTGACACTCTCCCTTGTTGCATCCCAACCCTTATCCCGAGGGACTTTTCTGACATTAAATTATTGCACTCATCTAGCTACCAACTAAATTCGTCCCACTGCCCAATATGATTTCATCTTTCCTATAGGTAGCTGCATTTTATTTTTTAAATATTTTTATTGATTTCAGAGAGGAAAGGAGAGAGAAAGAGAGATAGAAACATCAATGATGAGAGAGACTTATTGATCAGCTGCATTTTGCACATCCCCTGCTGGGGACTGAACACTTCCCAGGCATATGTCCTTGACTAGAATTGAACCCGGGACCCTTCAGTCTGCAGGCCTATGCTCTATCCACTGAGCCAAACCAGCTAGGGCGGTAGCTGCATTTTAAAGGGGGACATCTTAAAGGTGGTGAAATTTGCAGAAGCTATCTGAGATATGTGTAAAAAGCCTGTCACTGTTCCTTGAGTGTCTCTTCAAGGTGTTGATGACAGAGTGTAGCTCAATGCTGTGTTCATGGTAGGTACTGAATAAAATAAATCTGGTGGAGTTACTTGTGAGAAGTGTATTCGGTAAACAGCTGTCCTCTCACCCTATGTTTTAGATAATGACTGCTTTATGTGTCAACCCTCAAAACCCCTGGGAATCTAGTAGCTTTTAAAAGTTTAGCCCTGACTGGTTTGGCTCAGTGGATAGAGCATCGGCCTGCAGACTGAAGGGTCCCAGGTTCGATTCCCGTCAAGGGCATGTACCTTGGTTGCGGGCACATCCCCAGTAGGGAGTGTGCAGGAGGCAGCTGATCAATGTTTCTCTTTCATCGATGCTTCTAACTCTCTATCCCTCTCCTTTCCTCTCTGTAAAAAATCAATAAAATATATTTTAAAAAAAAGTTTATATAATCCAGCAGTCAAATAATGTCTTGCAAAAATTATGTCCTCATAATCGCTTTCAATAGTTAACATAAATAAAATCCATTTTTAAACTATGTTTTTATTGATTTTTAGAAAGGAAGAGGGATAGAGTGGTAGAAACATCAATGAGAGAGAAACAGCAACATCGATTGGCTGCCTTCTGCATGCCCCCTACTGGGGATCGAGCCATCAACCCGGGTTTGTGCCCTGACCAGGAATCGAACCTCTGGTACCTTCTTGGTTCCTGGGTCGATGCCCAACCACTGAGAGACACTGGTAGGGCAATTCATTTTAAACACAACTGAAGTAATTAAAAATAATTTATATACACCAACCCACAGTATTTTCTTTAAAAAAAAATTCAGTCAGGTTTTATTCAGTATTAAATAGTATACCCCCAAATCCACATCCAATTCAATTTAACTAAAAAATGGTGGTACTGTGAAATGCCAGCTTTCTGCCAATCCTTCTCATTTGGGTTCATTTAAAAAGCTTTATAAGACTGTCAGAAATTATCAGTAAGTCAAAGACAAAATTAAAGAACCCAAACTAAATTGATTTTTTATGGGCTACAATACTCATTAAACTAATTGCACTTGTTATACTAAGTGCAGTAATAATTTGCACCTCAAGGAAGAAAAACTGCAGCCAGGAAAGGTAATGAAATTATCAAAGGTGACAGCTTCCACATAAAAAAATAGATTAAAAACAATAAAGCTTGTCCTTGTGGGAAGTAAAGGATATATGGTCACACACTATGAAATAATGACAGATTTATGGATTAACATTAATTTTCTTTTTCTGGGACCCAGGTCACCTGGATTAAGAATTTCTCTTCAGCCATAGCTGGTTTGGCTCAGTGGATAAAGCGTTGGCCTGCGGAATGAAGGGTCCCAGGTTTGATTCTGGTCAAGGGCACATTCCCGGGTTGCCAACTCGATCCCCAGTAGGAAGCATGCAGGAGGCAGCCGATCAATGATTCTCTCTCATCACTGATATTTCTATCTCTCTCTTTCTCCCTTCCTCTCTGAAATCTATAAAATTAAAAAAAACTAAAAAAGAATCTCTTCAATCTCTAGGATAGCTTCATGAAAAAGAAATCAATTTACCAAAAGTGATTTATTTCTCGACTATAACTTCATATAATTTAAAGTGCAAAGCAATATACAAATACCAAAAAAAAAGATACAAGGCTTGGTCACACACCTTAAAAAGCATATGATGAAAAAAAAGTATATGATGAAGTAGCAGAGATAGGGAATGAATCAAGAATATTAGATAATCCAATTAAGAAACAACACTATGCGATCATCTGTACAAGGGAATATATAACACAAATGTCATCTAAGTCACCCACATAAGAAAACCTATGACCATAGAGAAGGAAGAGGACACTATATGCCACAGTGATCAGGAATAATTTTATATAAGAGTGATTTGATATCAATCATAATAGATTGGTAAGTTTTGCATTGATGGGGAAAAGGGGGTTGGAGTATGCCAGAGAAAGAAAATGTCATGTTCTAAGACATACAGCCAGGTAAGTACAGCATATGCTCAGAAAATAGATCTGGCTTGAGCAAATCAATGAGTTTCCATATAGGGGAGATACCAGGTACACCTGGGGCCAGATCAACAGGGAGTGATATTCTGAGTGGCAGTAGGGTGCAAGAAGAACAGAAAGAAAAAGTACAACTGCAGGCAAAAAGAAGTTAGGTGGCTAGTTATAGCTGCCGTTCAATTAGTTGTTAAAAGCCTAGACCTGAAAAGTAATGGAAAGAAAGGAATAGATGGAAAAGACAATGATGTTCTAGAAAACAGACAGAATTCAGTGACTGAAACCATATGGTAAAGCATGGGGGAAGTCAACAGAGATTTCAACATTTTAAATCTAGAAAACTGGAAGTATAGTGAGTTCAGTAATCTATATATATAAAAAGCCAGAGACTGGAATGCCGTAATGACTGGAATGACCAGTCACTATGATGCCCACTATGGCCAGCAAACCGGGGGGTGAAGCTGGCTGGCCAACCTCCTGCAGGCCCTGCCCCCGGCCGCCCCGCCCCTGATCGCCACCCCCCTACCCCAATAGGGGCCAGGGCTGGCCGGCCAACCTCCTGCATCCCGTCCCCCTGGCCGGCCCCCCCAGATGGACCCCCACCACCCTGATCAGAGGCAGGGCTGGCCAGCCAACCACTTGTGGCCCCTCCCCCCAGCCGGCCCTGCCCCTGATGGGCCCCCACCACCCCAATCAGCCCACGGCCCCTTGCCCCAGCCAGCTCTGTCCCCGATTGGCCCCCCACTCCGATCAGGAGCAGGGCCAGCCAGCCAACCACCCATGGCCCCTCCCCCAGGCTGCACGCCCCCCATCAGCCCCCCCCACCCCATCACCCACAGCCCCTCCCCACAGCCAGCCCCACCCCTAATCAGCCCCCACCATCCCGATAGGCCTGTAGCCCCTCCCTGCAGCCAGCTCTGCCCCCAATCAGCCCTCCCACACACCAATCAGGGGTGGGGCTGGCCAGCCAACCTTCCATGGCTCCTCTCCATGGCCGGCCCCGCCCCCAATCGCCCACGGCCCCTCTCCCCAGCCAACCTTCCACCATCTCCTCCTCCCGACAGGCCCAGCCCCAATCTGCTGACTGGACCCCACCTATGCATGAATTCATGCACTGGGCCTCTAGTAGATATAGAAAAAGACAAGGAAAATGACAGTTGGGCTCTAGTGAAGGCTGAGTTGAGGTGATAATGACACACCCAAGATGTGTTCAATAAGAAGCTACAGAAATAAAGTTAAACCCAAAGATTGGAGAAGTGACTTGAAAATCACCCACATGGCCATGACAGATAAGTAGGTGATAGCCCAGAAGTGACTATAGAAAGAGAAATAAAACAGAGTGAGGATTGCACCACAGGGAGCTCCATATTCTGGGTGGGAGAATTAGCATATGGTCAGGAATACAGACACCAGCCTGGGCAATGGAGTCAAAACCCAGGTAAGCAACTTGAACAACAATGATTGTCGGGGGTGGGGGGGGGGATATTGCTTCTTACTAAATGGACAGATTTTTCTGGATCCTTTTCTGGCAGGATGTGCTTCCCCAGATGGGGCTAACCAGGGCTCTGAGAGTTGAGCAAAAAAGACAAGCACCTGACTGTGGTGGGAATTGAGAGTGAGAAGAAAGTAGAGAGAAACAATGTCTTCAATTAAGATGGGCATGCGCCGTAACCGGTTTGGCTCAGTGGATAGAGCATCGGCCTGCAGACTTAAGGGTCCCAGGTTCGATTCCGGTCAAGGGCATGTACCTTGGTTGCGGGCACATCCCCAGTACGGGGTGTGCAGGAGGCAGCTGATCAATGTTTCTCTCTCATTCGATGTTTCTAACTCTCTATCCCTCTCCCTTCCTCTCTGTAAAAAATCAATAAAATATTTTAAAAAAAAAGATGGGCATGTGTGTGCATGCATGTGTGAGGCAGAGGGCAGGTTATATGTAAAGGAGAAGCCAAAGACATAGTCCTCCCTGCATTTAGAGTAAGTAGCTGAAGAATCTGAAGAAGCAAGCCTAACACATATGAAAGAATGCCGTGTGTATAGCAGTGAAAAGGTATGTCACTGAGACTCTCAAGTTCCTTGGACCCAGTGAGTACAAGAAAGTAAGGTGAAGCAGGTCAATGTGGGATGGAGGAGCTGAAAAAGATAGCATATAGGAGTGGGCTTGAAATGGGTTTTATTGAGTATACTTTTTGTTAGACAAAGAGCAATTCTGAGAGAATCCCAGATGAGGAAATGATATGAGAAGAGCTTGGAAGTTGGCAAGCACACAGCATGTTGGAAGCACACAAAAGGGGAACAATTCACACTGGATATGGGAATTATGGTGGACCCAAGGGTCAACAGGGTAAGCCCACATTGAGTCATCTGTCCTTCCTCCTAAGAGACTAGGAAACTACTGAAAGTGTTGGAGCAAGAATATATGATGAGAGAAGTAGTGTTTTAACAAGATTAATTTGGGAGTGTGGGGAAAGAGATTAAAGCGGGAATTGTGAAAGCAAGGAGACCAAATCAAATAGTCTCTGTGTAAAGTCATTAGGGCTTAGACTGGGCTGGAGGTGAAAGGTTTAAAAAGATGGCACCAAAATGAGAGCTATGACAAAAGGTAGAATCAACAGGACATAGTGCCTATATATGGAGTGAAGGAGAAGAGCAGGGTCAGGGGTACTTTGGAGACTTAGAAAGCAAAAGAAAAAAATGGCATTGGTAATAGGAATAATAAAGATATAAAATAAACTGGCCTGAAGGAGAAAATTGTAAGATCTGTTTTGAACACTAAAATTTAATGTGACAGTGGGGAATCCATATGGAGCTGTCAAGCAGGCAGCCAGAAATATGAGACTTAATGAGAAGGAAAAATCAAGACCAGAGAAAACTGATAATTAGAGAAAAGACAGAAGATGAAACAAAATAAAAAGACACTAGATTGCCAAGTAGGCGGGGGAAGTCAGGACTGTGAACCATCATAGAAACCAAGGGAGGAATTTTAAGGAGATATAATTGATAGTGTCAACTGCAGCAAAGAACTGAGGAGGAGAATGAAAGATAGCATGATGGATTTGGCTAGGAGGTCATTGCTCTCCTCCAGGCGATCCAACAGAGCAAGATGAGAAGAAAGAACACATGGGACCAGGGTAGGCAGCAGGCACCAAACATTCATTAGAGAAGTTCGGAAGGTGAGGGACTGGACAGCCAGCTTGAGGGAACAACAAGGCTGGTTTAATTCAAATCGGTGGGAAGACTCCTGACTTTGACCACAAAGAGGTTGATGCCAAGGAAGATGTAATAACGTAATAATGGCCCGTAAAAGAAGAAACAAATTAAAAGTAAAGTGAACATATGCACGTGTAAGTAGAAGTCCCCAGAACAGAACATTAACTAATATCCAGTTACCTGTGCTTTCTGCAATGGTGCCATCCGGCAGCAGAGCACTGCAGTGCACTTCATACAAATCTGTACGAAAATGCTTTTGTAATTGTTAGAACTGGAGTCATGATTAGAATTTAATATGAGTGATAATGTGGAGCCATCAATGATTAATCCATATTCCTGTTGTTCTGTCCATGCTCTGAAAATAAAAAAATAATGCTGTATTTGAATCTATTATACAATTCTATTTAGGAACCTTATTTCTTTTAAACTATAAGAAGGAGGATCTCCCATAAGTCATCATCAATCTGATTCCTAAACCTATACATTCTAAAGAAAAAACTGCCTCTAATAAAGGCACATCAGAGACTTTTCATCACATGTTTGAGACTCAAGCTGCCTATATAAATAACATTAAGTTCTAAATGGGATAAAAATAATGGACATTTAGTGGTCAGTCTCTATAAGAAACTGAAGGCGAATTTGGGAAATTACAGATCAAACTCTGATATAAAGACAAATCATTAGTCAATCTAAAAACTTCTTAACAATATAAGTAAAAGACAAAATGGCTTTGGGGTATACAGTCACAGAAGACCTTTTCCTAATATTTTTGCCTGAATGACATAAACTATCAGTAAACCAGGCTTCTCAAATGTGATGGAGTACCTAAAATATATGGTGTTCATTAAAGAATACCATACAACAATATATGTTCATTAAATAAGTATCATTTTATACTTGATTAATGTTCTCAGCCATAGCCTTCCCATTAGAATCATCTGAGCAGTTTTAAAAAATTGCCCATGTGCCCTAGCTGGTTTTGCTCAGTGGATAGAGCGCTGGTCTGCAGAATGAAGGGTCCCAGGTTCTTTTCCAGTTAAGGGAATATGCTGGGGTATCAGGCTCGATCCTCAGTAGGGGGCATGCAGGAGGCAGCTGATGAATGATTCTCTCTCATCACTGATGTTTCTATCTCTCTCTTCCTCTCCCTTTATCTCTGAAATCAATAAAAATATATTTAATAAAAATAAAATAAAAAATTGCCCATTACGTGAGGACTATCCCCAGATAAATTAAATCAGAGTATCTTGGGCAGGGCTCAGTTACATATACTGTATTAATGCTTTAAAAAGCTCTTCAGGTGATTCTCATGCATAGCCAGGAAAGAAAAATGTAACCAGTGCCAAGTATTTAAGAAAAACATATGAGGGTAAAACTTACAACTGAGAAAATTCTACCAATTAACATGTCTTTATTTTTTTTACAATGAAGAAAAAACAATGATTAGTCAATGTTAGCTCAGGAAATTTGGGTGCTATTTGAGAACCACTGCAGTGAATTAGACACAGCTGGATCTCATCATTATAAATTCACTTGTCTAACTTGATGCTTCTCAAAGTTTAATGTTAAAAGAATCTTGTCAAAATTTCTGGGAATCTTGTAGATTCTGATTGAATAGGTTTGGGGTGGGACATGGGATTTTATATTTCTAACAAGCTTCTGGTGGTAACGGAGATGCTGTTCTATGGACCAAACTTTGAATAGTGAGAGCCTAATATGCCTCATCTATCCTTTATGCCATATTTCTTTGTTGTATATTGCTAACACCATAATATTTTGTACATATCCATATTTTGCTTCATAATTTAATGACCATTTTTTCACTCACTAAAGAGATATCATTCATGTGTTCACCTTCTTTGCTCCCCTACCCACAGAGCAGACTTAATATACAGAAAACAGTGACTCAGTAATCAATCAAGCAATATTTGTAAACATCAATTATATACAATGAAAATAATTATTAATTACTCTTTCCTTGTAGAACAGAAAATCTCATTGGAATGACAAAAGCATACATGATAGACTATAACCAACCAAACAAGATATTAAATAGTCACTATCCAGTGATTGGGAAAATAAATACACAGGAAGAATAGTGGGTTCTTTGTGAGGTGTGATATCTGAAATGGAACTTGAAAGACAGGGCAGAAAGTGGTGTGTGGAGAGAATGTATCCTGCACTAGGAAAGCAAAATGAAAATGTCACTTGAGGCCTTTGGTGCAAACTGATTCTGTGGGTAATGGAGAACCACTTAAGGTTTCTGAGCAGGGACAAGATATAGGCAGTACTTCACATTTAAGGACCACTTGTCTGGCAGAGGGGCTTAAGGGACTTGAGGCATGGGTTGCTACAAAATTTGCTGTGGAGCACCGGTGGTGAAAATGAGAACATGAATAAGGCTTGGTGGCTGATCTAAAGTGGAAGGGACAAAGAAGCAGAAGCTGGCAGAAGTGATTCTAGGTCTGCCATCTATGTAACCTGGGGAAAGACTGTACCCGCACAACTCCAAACAGATGAGCCAGGAAGAGGAAATGTTCTGAGCTGAGAAGTGAAGGGTTCCATAAGCCCTGGCTCTTATAAAAGTGCTCCAGAGCTGCTGAATGGTGCTATGAACTGAATTGTGTCCCCTACCATGTCCTATTTTGAAACCCTAACCCTCAATGTGGTGGTATTTGGAGATGGAGTCTTTGGGAGATACTTAGGTTTAAATAAATTCATAAGGGTGGGGTCCTTATAAGAAGAGACACCAGAGCTTCCCCCCTCTCTGCAATGTAAGGACACAGTGTAAAGGCAGCTTTCTGCAAGCTAGAAAGAGGGACCATACCAGCTATGAGAAATTAGTTTCCACTGGATAAGCTACCCAGTCTATGGTATTTTGATATGGTAGCCCAAGCAGACTAAGACAAATGGAAAAGTAAAATGCTTGTAATTTTGACTGCCTTTAATAAGTATCATTTGGTTAAAGGAAGAAAACTTTAATCATAAAAACCTGTTTATTCTCATTGATGCCCAAATACCAGAAGAAAAACTGCTGTTTTAGAATTGACCATAGCCTCATGAATGTGTGGTATTCATTTCTAAAGTTTGTTTAAACAATGGAGATGAAGATGACAATATAGTATAGTTGTTAAAGATATAGCATGGACTCTGGAATTGTATAGACTTATTCCACCTCAAAGCCTTAGTTTCCCTATCTGTAAGTTGAAGAAAGTAAGATTGCCTTACTAGTTTGTAGTGAAGATTAAATGAGAATAATTATATAAAGTGCTTAACACTGTTCCTGGAACAAAGGGGGTGCTCAAGAAATGAAAAACAGTATTATCTAGGGGTCTTTGAATTTAGTGTAAGCACATCCTAAAGAGGAAATCAATTTCCTTATAGCCAAGGTAAATTCCAATAATTGCTTCAGACAAGGCTAAGCCCTAGTCAATGATAATTCTAGAAAAATATATCATTGAATTATTGTGGATCAGTGGCTTTCCTTGAGATCCGAGGGTTCCACAGTTCTTCATAAGCAGCTAGTTGAAAGCAGAATCCAAGTGTCCATGTCAACAAGAATTTGGTTACCTTTGGAATTCTGTGGCATGAAAATCAACACAGAAAATGGCTCCAGGGTCTCAAAATATATGGAAACTATTACAGAGATCAGTTTTATTACATCCAGTTTAATAGACTGTGAAAAGATGTATTTTTTTATTAACATGGACCAGGCCAGAATATCAATGCTAAATACCCAGGCCCTAAATATCGAGAAACTGAACTAGTTTCATAAACCTTGAGAAGTGCATGGTTTTCTTTTAAACTAGAGGTAGGAAGTACCAAATAATTTCAACTGGGCCATTAGCCACATCCCCAGGGAATGCTGTGTGTGTTTTTTAATTACTCAAAAAAGCTTCATTTTTAAATTTATTTAGCTTTCTGACTCTGTGCTTGTGCCTTCAACACTTTCACAACGATTTTCTGCTCCTCAATAAGGAAAGCACGCTTGATCCTGTCATGGACACATTTAGTACACATGGATCCACTATAGGCCCTGCTGATGTGTTTTTTTGTTTTAGACAACCTCATTAGAACTTTAGGCCTCACAGCACAAATTCTGAGAAGTCGGCCTGGGCACATACCACATGCAGATTTTGGTGCTTTCCCAACCTTCTTGGTATAAAGGTAAACAATTCTATTACCAGGGGTTCAGGACAGTCTCGTTTTGTTAGAGGCGGTATTGTAGGACCGCCTCCGAATGTATGTCAAATGCTGGACCATGGTGAATACCTAAACTAAAGTCACCATCCCCGGAAGAGCCCTCAGGGAATGTTTTTAATTTATAAGGATAAAATACCTGCAAATAAAGAATGATAAATAAAAAAACAGAGCCTTCTGCATAAAAAGCTGTGATTTATATCTGTACCAATGCCTAAATATAAGAAACTGATGCACTTTCTTACTTTTTAAGGCTTCTAGTACTTTTAGGAAATTCATGGAGCAACTTCTTACGGTATTCTATCAACAATTCATGTAATCGATCTTCTTTCCTTTCACTTTCTTCAATGGTTTTTGTGGTCAATTCTAAGAGCTCAGTGCTGGTTTGGAAAAGGCGGCAGGCATAGCAGGTAGATTTGGCTGTCTCCATCTTATCCCCAGTAAGCACCCAGACTTTCAGACCTGCTGCATGCAGAGCTTCAATGGTCTCAGCTGCTTGATCTTGTAGCCTGAGAACACAAAGGAAAACTCATTATCCTCAAAAATTCCCAACAGAGATTCTGCAAGAAGGCTTGTTAAAGAGAATATTTTTACAATACACAGCATTTCTGGAGTCCTGACATGTTATCACAGTTGGTTTTCTTATGTATCCTCTACTCTGAGAGTGTTCTCTCTGGCACAGTTTTACTTATTAAAGTGAATTTCAAAGAATGAGGTTTGGACAAATTCATGACATCTCTTGATATAACTGATATCCTATGGCAGAAGTGAGAATCAGCATTCTTAGCTAAAATATTCAGAAACTCACCAAGCATTCTTATTCATTGTCACTTTAGCATATTAAATTTTATATTATGTCTCACCACACAGATACTTAACATGGTTTAAAACAGAAAGGGCCAAAGACATTCAAATAAGATATTGAGGGAAGTTAGTGAATATCATCCCTGAGGAGCTTTAAGAACAGAAAAGCCAACCATCCTGAAAGAGAATCCTATATAATAAAAGAGAAACATGCAAATTAACCATCCCTCTGCTACACTCAAGCCACACCCACAAGCCAATCAGGAGCAAGTATGCAAATTAACCCAACTAAGATGGCAGTGGCCATGGAGCTGGAGCGAGCAGGAGGCTTGGGTTGCCCATGGCGATGGAGGAACCCAAGCTTCCTGTCTGCCCTGGCAGGCCTGGGCTCTGCTCAAGGCTACAAAGTTTCAATTATAGAAGATAAATAAATCCCAGAAAAAAAAAGAAAGAAAAAAAGGAGAGGCTGGGAGCTTGAGTAGCCAGGGGGCATGGCCAGCCTGAAAACAGTGCTCAGCTCCTCACCCAGGCTGGCCAGGCACCCCAGTGGGACCCCCATCTTGATCTGGGATACCCTTCAGGACAAACCAGCCAGCCCCCACCTGTGCACCAGGCCTCTATCCTATTTAATAAAAGGGTAATATGCAAATTGACCCTAACAGCAGAACGACTGGGAATGACTGGTCACTATGACACACACTGACCACCAGGGGGCAGATGCTCAATGCAGGAGCTGTCCCCTGGTGGTCAGTGTGCTCCCACAGGGAGAGCTCTCCTCAGCCACAAGCCGGGCTAATGGCTGCCAGCACAGCAGTGATGGCGGGAGCCTCTCCCACCTCCTCAGCAGCGCTAAGGTTGTCCGACCGCAGCTTAGGCCTGTTCCCCGCTGGCAAGTGGACATCCCCTGAGGGCTCCCGGGCTGCCAGAGGGATGTCTGACTGCCAGCTTAGGCCCGATCCCCCTAGAGAGTGGGCTAAGCCAGCAGGTGGACATCCCTCGAGGGGTCCCAGACTGCAAGAGGGCACAGGCCGGGCTGAGGGACCCCCCCCCTCCCCAAGTGCACAAATTTTTGTGCACCGGGCCTCTAGTTTAAGCATAATTCTGAAAGGCAGGAATAAAAGAAGAATGATACTTTCTTTGATTCCTTTTGTCAAGAGAATAAAAATGAAATTAAACTAAATGGATTTCATTAGAATTGCAGTACCTTCCAATATGGCTAAATATATGTTTGTAACTTTGTTTGGTTAAGTCTCAACAATTGGGCATTTATAATTTCTAAAAATCTCTTCCAATATTAAGTCTAAAACTTGTTGGAGCCCTATAATTATGTCTGTCAGAGCTCAGCCTATATAATTAAAGTAAATCATTTTAAAGTATGCAAAAACAAGCTCTAGTCTGTTAAACCAGGTTAGAATGAGCTCTCATGTTATTTGCTCTATCTTGAAATTTCCTTTCAGCTTATCTCTGTCAAAAGCTTACTTATTCTTGTCCGGCTGGTATGGCTAAGTGGTTGAGCATCAACCTATGAACCAGGAGGTCACAGCTCAATTCCTGGTCAGGGCACATGCCCAGGTTGCGAGCTTGATCCCCAGTAAGGGGCATGCAGGAGGCAGCCAATCAATGTTTCTCTCTCATCATTGATGTTTCTATCTCTCTCTTCCTCTCCATTCCTCTCTGAAATTAATAAAAATATATTTTAAAAAATTTTACCCATTCTACCAGGCACTAATTCAGCTTAAATGATGTCTTCAGCACAAAGCGCCCTATGCCTAGTAAGACTATTTCATAAATATCTGCATAAATAAATGAATGGCTTAGTAAGTATTCAAAAGACCTTAAAGATGACAGAGTCATCTTCTAACTCACAAATAATTAACTTAATAATCATTCCCATGAATAGTTCACAATCTGGTGTGTAGACAAAGCAAAATCAAAGATTTCAAAATTTGAGATTAAATTATTAATCTGAACAGATACCACCCTAAATGACTGGTCATTAAAATAACAAGAATATTATATTCTAGTTACTTGTCTTCCACTGCAGTGGCTCCAATTAAATTCATGTTTGTCTCAATATCATCAAAAATCGTTTCCAATTTTTCTTCTCTCTGTTGTAAGGCCATTTTTGCCTCTACGAGCTGTCTGTCAATTCTTTCATAATCATCTGGAGGAATTTCTTTGAAGGCTACACAAAGTGTCCGATACCCATCCTAGAAGCAAAGTAGGAGATCTCTAGTTATCTAAATAATAACAGGGGGGAAAAACACATTTTCTTTAAGTACTCTTACTTTACCAAACAAAGAGAAATTCTGATATATTTTTAGTTTTAAAAAAAGAACAAATTACAACTAAAAAGGTAACATTCAATTAAGTTCAAAATAACAAAATATCTCTGGGGGCAAAAAAAACCCCACAGAACATAATACATTCTTGAAAAGTCTTTAAAGCTCCAAATTCTGAAGAGAAACTTGCTCTAGAAAAATGTTTTATATTAAAATATGGTAAACACTATTACTAAAGCCCCAATTCTGAAAATAAACCATAAAGAGAAGCTAAAATTCACTTAAACAGATATTGAAATAAGTCATTTCCAGCATTTCTCTATTTCTTGGGGGGTTAGAGTGAAGGCTCACCATTGAAGTTCGTTCCACATGGGCTTTGGTTGACTCAATGTTATGATTATGCACCCTGGGGAAAATTGCTGAGTCGGCACCTTTACAAAAGAGAAGTATGCCTCCTAAAATAAAAACCCAAAGTAGTCGACTTAGAATTTTAAGCCTTGTACTGGGACTTTAATAACATTGAATGATTAGGGTGGATATTCTCACTCAGCTGTTATGTATCCTGAGCCTGCCTTGAAATGCTCACCCAAATGGAATGAGACATCTTGACCTTTGCATTGTCAGGACAACATTCACCATCTCTTAAGACTGATATGGACATAAGTAATAACTCAGAGTTTACAACATGCACCTCTGTTAAAATATACTTCCTTCTAGTGAATCATGAAAGTCTATGCTTGTGTCAAGTGCATCTGAATTATCTTGGAAAATGTTGTCAGCCATGGTCTAAAGAGCACCTGTGGCATCTACTGATGTCAAGGACCAAACTTAATCTCAAACAAGGTAAACTCATTTTAAATAAACTATATAAATTAGCTTTTAAAACAGTGGCTTGACGGTTTTTACCAGAAACTTGAGACTAGCTTTGTAGAAGACAGTTGAGAATACATTGTACTTAGTAGCACAAGTAAAGGTTTATATCAGTCCATGCACTCAGGAAAGTAGTAATAGTTGAGCATAACGATAAACACTTCATCCTTATAAGGCAAAATGCTAAGTCCAACAAGTTAAAAAATAACAGTATTGCTCTGAGGTTAAGGCCCTTGGCATACCACTTCCCCAGATATCTCACCATTTGCAGTAGAATGCATATGTGCATGGGCACAGGTAAAAACAGCAAGTATTTAAAATGTTTGTTTGTTTTTTCATTTTCTCTCACACATCCAATTTATGTAAAAGTCACAAAGCAAATTGTACATTAACATAATTAAATCATTTTCATTTGCAGTCACACCAAAAAGTATGAATAAAGTGGGATACATTCCCTCAAGAGTCTGTCTGTATCTTCCTATTCTCACATTCAGGAATTTGCAACAGATTTAATACTAAAAAGTAAATTACTAGAAAATTAATCAAGGATATTTTGAAAAAACCACCCAGAGACAGACACATGCACATACACAAACACAAATAGATACAGAGGTTTCTGAGAGCCCCCAAATGAAGCATTCTCATGAGTCTTGCTGAATTCGAGCAGAAGATATCTTGACCACCATGGCTCCTCCCAAAGATACGGGGGAACCCTGGGATGATGGCACTGGTTCCCTTGCAAGCAAAGGGCAAGCTTTTTGACTGTCAAAGAGGCCAGAGTGCTGAAGAAAAATTACAATGCTCTTTCATATTAGGCTGGCCATTAGTTATCTCTAGCTCACCAGCCTCCAGGGAGTGTAAACCAATGGGGAATGAGGAAGGTCAGGGAGGGATAACCAGCAACTCTACACTCAAGGACTTTACGGCTAGTAATTGCAAACCCCACAATCGTACTGAGCTATTGCATGTAGACATTATTGGTGATTGGTCAGTACCCAGAACAAAAAAGTCACCCTTTCAGTTCCTATTTGGACAACCATGACTGAGTAGAGCTCAGTTTCCAAGAAAAGGCATACACTGTCATACCAGGGGTTCTACCAATGACAATTTGACAAGTGAATACATGTGCTTACTTATATAAATACATGAAGGCCTATATGAAGCTACTGCTTGATATGTTAGGTAATCATATACTACTACATTTAATGTTTTCTTTCTTGAAATTGTTGATTAAATATAAATCTAAAATGGAAAAATAGAAAAAGTTATTTTTTCAAAAATGCATACCTTCTTTAGTCTGCACAATAACACTCATACGACGACGGACAGAATCAAAGTTTAAGGTGTGAAGAAGTTCATACCTTTATGAGAAGAAAAATGAGAAAAGTAAAATACCTAGACCATACTGGGAAAAATAAATCACAAGAGAAATATCTTAAGATATTTAAAGATCTTTAATGAACCAAGCTCTTCTCTTTGGGTAAGGGGTGCTAGTTATGTGTACAACTGGGGATTTTTACTGTGTTTTTGAAATGTCTCTGCATTTAGGGCATGCTGTCAGAGGATACCATTGTTGGTAAGGGGTATCTGTATCTTCCCATTGTATTACTTAAAATGTAAGGAGTGAGCGACTACATAGGAATGGGGACAAAAAGATGTCCCACCGAGCCATATCTGAAGGGATCTAGAAATAGTCTCACCCTGACAATTATTTCAATCATCTATGGAATGTCTAATATGTGTCAGGCACAGTGCTAGGTGCTGGAAAATAGACAGGAATCTCCTCAGACCCTTCCCTCAAAGGGCTCCTCATATGATAAGGCAATCAGAGGGTAAGGTAATAAGATGACTACCTTCCAGTCTGCCAAAAACTGTAATAAATAAAGGAACTCATTGGGGAGATGTGAGTGTGCAGAATGAAGACATCCGAAGGAAGGCTTCCTGGAAATAGTTGTGCCTGAGTTGTGTTCTCTAGAAGTGTTATGATGAAGAAAGAGTAGCATGGCATTCTGAGTAGAGGGAAGAGTATGTGCAAAGGCACAAGAGTATGATTACATATGGACCATGGTTGGAATATACAGTAGTTCACTAAGGCTTGACATCTAATTGATAGGGGAATAGTAAGGACTCTAAGCAGGGGCTGGGAAATGAGAACATTGTGGGCCACAGATTTGGGATTTTATCCTAAGAGCAATAGAAATCCACTGAAAGGTTTAAACAGTGGAATGATATGATCAGATCTGTGTGTGAATGGCTGAGCTATATTAATCAAATGAAATGATGCAAAAGGGTAAAAATATGAGTTAATTATTTTAAAAATGTAAGATTTTTTTTTGAAAATAAACAATTTGGATACAAGCATTTGTCCTAAAAATATCACAAAGCTTGTTTTTGATGGGAGGGAGGAGGTCATTATTTGAGGATATGTGTGTGTAAAACATAAACATGTAGTATTTCACTTGGTGTTGGCCAAGATGGGGGCACTGGTTGCAAACTGGTTAGAATCTGGACAGATGATGACTCTGGGTTCTTGGCAGTCAGGCCAAAGAGCCTTCCTCTGGTTTCTGAGCATCCCTCCCTAAAGGTGCATCTACATGTATTACAGGGTGTGAGATGGGTCTCATGAGATGTTAGGGGCCAGAATGTAAGTCAGGTAATTAAATTTCAACTTCAGATGAAGGACTTCAAATTAATCATAGATCCTAATTCAAACCTGCCCTTACGCTAAAGTGGCTTTGTTCCTTGAGGTCTCCGACACTGATGCATTAGAATACTTGCCCAGGGGCTTAACCCTGATCATCTAGAACAGTGGTTCTCAACCTTCCTAATGCCGCAACCCTTTAATACAGTTCCTCATGTTGTGGTGACCCCCAATTTCATTGTTACAAATTGAACATAATTAAAGCATAGTGATTAATCACAAAAACAATATGTAATTATATATGTGTTTTCCGATGGTCTTAGGCAACCCCTGTGAAAGGGTCATTTGACCCCCAAAGGGGTCGCGACCCACAGGTTGAGAACCGCTGATCTAGACCAAGACAAAGCTTCTAACACCAAAGCTGCCATGTTTGGCTAGGCTTGAAATCCCAGAGTTATTGGTTGGGTTCTGGAAATAAAGTTTTATGCATGTTCACTGATTTTTCTTGCAGCATGTGTTGGAGACCAGAAATGGTATTTTAATTTCTGAAAGGAAGTCCAGGCAGACTTTCATTCAGGCTACTGGATCCATATGTGAACCAAACTGGAATCATTTCCACATCAAATCTCAGTTTCTGCCATTCTATGAAAAAATAACTTTCTCCTCCTCCAACTACATTTACATAAAACTCTAAACTGGGAGAACAGAGTCCTACACTTGTAGATGCAATCAGTTTCCTTTGCTGCCCTTACTATATTCAGTTAAGGTGGACTGTGGGATTAAGGTGTGACAAACAAACACACAGTGCTACTTACTCTTCTATTTCTTGTCTTTGGTTCTCTATTCTGATATGGCCATTCTGAGTTCCTAAAAATGTGAACCCATACCTGTCAAAAACAATAAAAAAGACATTTGTATATCTCTAAAGAATGATTCCTTTCCTTTGCACTGGGGTTACTTGTAATCTTTTATTGTTTTCTTCTCTTTCATATGATATCAATCTATAATCTTCCCTTTACTGGCTGAAATGATAACACAGCAAATCAATGAACAGTCACAAATTGTAACAAAAAATGAGGCAATTTGTAAATCCAATTCTGTAACTAACACACTGCGTGACCTTTTTAGTCACTTAATTATCTTGGCCCTCATGGGTCAAACGGGACTATCTTTACCAAATGATGTCAAAATTGCTGGGAGCACTTCAGAAATAACATGTGTTGTACAAAAAGTGGCCACTGTTATGATCTGAAAAATATAACATAAACATTTAGACTTCTGGCTGGTATGCATAAATAGTAATACAGTGGGGCCTTGACTTACGAGTGTCCCGACTAATGAGTTTTTTGAGATACCAGCTGTCTCTCCACCAATTTTTTGCATTGAGTTGATAGAGTAATTTGAGTTAACGGGCTCCTTAACAAGCTCGGTCTCGGAACGAATTAAACTCGTAAGTCAAGGCCCCACTGTACAAGTTACACCTATGCATTACTATTTTCTTTTTGCTCTTAATTGGTTAGGGTTGGGGAATTTTTCCTAAACTTTCAGATTAAGGAGTCTGACTTTTTACTAAAGAATAAGTATATTTACAAGATAAGGTTACTGAAGCAAACAGAGAGAAAAAAATAACTCCTGTCCTGTGATTTCACTTTCTCAGGACAAGTATAGAAAGTGCTTCATTTTTTTCACTCTTCAAAAATGCTAATGTATTTCTCAACAACTTATCTCAGGGTTTTAAAACAGCTGTATTGAGGTATAACTGATATATGAAGAACTCCACATATTTAATGTATGCAATTTGATGAGTTTGGACACATGCAAACACCTGTGATACTAAAATACTGTATTGTTAACTATAGGTATGACACTCTAGAGCAGACCTCTAGAATGCATTCATGTGCTTACTTTTTAGCTCCTTTCACCAAAGCTATTTCATCTGGTGAAGAGGCCACATAGGTTAATTCAGCTGATTCTGTAGCTCCATCAACAGCATCATTTACTTTAATTTCTACAGTATGGCATAAACACAAGGCACGCAGAAAGAGCTCTTCTCGATTCTGTTAAACAGTAACAATAAAAAATGACTATTATTTTCACCTTGATCACTTGGTAACTAGTCCATGAACAGAGTTAGCAGAAATTTATAAATTCTTAATACTCGGCTGAGCTATATATCTTCCTAGTTCCTAACAACATTCCTGGTTCTCAGCTAACATACCGTAGGGGCTGTGTTAACTCATTCAGGTTAGTGTAGCGCTACCTAATACCCAAGGGGGTGACTTTTTCTTGCCTAAAAGAGTTCATTCAGTATCTAATTCACAATCTGGCAATAGCTCAGGCGCAGGGAGACTCTGGTTCATTTACTGCCTAGACACTCCAGGGACTAAAATGATTTGAATTAGATATCATTCTCGGAAGAGCTCATATCTTAAAGACAAAGCACAAAAAATTTATGATCACACAGACAGGGAGGTGAAATTTTACCCAATGCAATTTCCCATAATTTTCTCTACTTGTTTACAAATTCCAGAGGTGTTAGTAAAACAAGAAAGGTGAACTGAGAGAAGAAACAAATGGTTATTCAAAAGTCTGTCATAAGCTAAAATTCATTTCTACTATGCAGGGTTAACACATGGATACATAGATTGATTTCTCAAAGTAAAATGGCAATGTAGAAAATGCCACCTTATCTGCTTTATCAAAATATGTTAAAGGTCCATCAGTTTGAGAGAGTCCATCAGTTTCCTGAGTTACACCTTTATACTTGTGCCCATCTATGCAGCATTCAATGAATTCCATGCTGTTTTCAGTGAGTGTTCCAGTTTTATCTGTAAATACATAGTCCACCTAAAAACAAGGACATAAACATACATTTTAACTTTGTTCAGTGTGATTAATGTTTAGTTGGGTGTAAGGCAGAGCAATTTTCTCACCCATAGAAAATATCTTTTCTAAGACTTCTTGTCAAATATAAGGTAATTACAGAAGCAATATTATCAAATGAGTGAGAAACAAGAGTATTTTCAAGACACTGAAACAGTATCACATTTCTAAAGTAGACCTATTATAATATAGAAGATTAATAGGAAGGAAGAATGTGGCTATTTTATCAAAGTAAGGACCCTTCAATTTAACACCTAGCCTTTTTTATGTAAAGAAGTTACTAGTACATAAGAGCCCTGGCTGGTGTGCTCAGTAGTTAGAGCATTGACCCGTGCACCTCAGGGCTGCGGGTTAAATTCCTGGTCAAGGGCAAGTACCTCAGTTGCAGGTTTGATCCCGGGTCCCAATCAATGTGTCTCTCACATCGATGTTTCTCTCTCTCTCCTTCCCCCTTTATCCCTCCCTTCCATTCTCTCTAAAAAGCAATGGAAAAATATTATCCAGTGAGGATTAAAAAGAAAAAGAAATCACGTAAGAAGGTCAATTTTCTAAGTGGGAAACAAGAATATACTGACCACTTATTATATATATATATATATATATATATATATATATATATATATATAATAGGACCTAAACTAACTGGGATATAATAAAATCTTTCCTTAAAAAATAAAATATTCTGTAAATATATTGGATTGAAGTGAAATGCATTGTTTCATATAATGCACATAAGAATTACAGAATATAGATGGTACACAGTAAGTCAATAATGATCAAAACCAATTTTAAATATTTTCAGATATGTCTCAAAAAAGGTTCCAAACTTAAAAAAGCAGTTTTATGATAGGCTAAAGTATAAGCATACTTTCATAAATAATGGAAAAATAATTTATGAAGTAAATTTTCCATGTAAAATAAGCCATTTTGAGCATTTCCATTTTATCTCAGTTTTTATCTTCTATTTATAACATCTGGCTTTTGGAAACCCACAATTTTATCTCCTTTTGGCAATTTATGCTTAAATAGTTAAAATTATGGGCTGACAGGAACAAGCAATAAGCACAAGACTAAGGTTTCTATTATGTAAGGCAGAAAGAGATGAACTCCAGCAACAGTTGCTCTCTAATTATTTTTCAAAGCTTTTCCCAGTAGCAGCATGGTACAAATATGTCCTTCTAATTTTCCTTTTTGTCCTCTTAGCTGGCCAAGTTTGAATTCTCTCTTTAAATTAATCCAAGTGGTATTATTCCTGTGTTGTTAGAATTTTTCTAGTTAAATGAAAATCTATGGGGCTTTATTTTCTGGTCAAAATTATTAACCTTCATTTCCCCTAAAGGCTGTCCTGTGTTGTAGCATCTCCTGGACTAGGGTGGGAATTAATCCATTAAGAAATCTTTTATGAGTGTCAAAGGTGGTAGTTTTAAAAATATAAAATACAATTGTTTGCCGATATACTAATAGGTTGTGTAGTATGGCTCTGCATACAATTATTCTCACAGGTATAGACAAACAAACTATACCCTAATATAGTAATTATCAAACTGTAGTATGCATCACACTTACTTGGAGGGCTCACTGAAACTCAGATTGTGGGCTCTATCCCCAAAGTTTCTAATTCAGTAGCTCTGGGGCAGGGTCAATTAATGTGAATTTATAGTAATTTATCAAGTGATGTTAATGCTGCTGGTTCCTGGATCCTACTTTGAGAATCACTGATCTAATATATGCCCTATACTCAAGAAAGGGGGAGGAGAGGATTGGCTGTTATTGAAAAGTATGTATTCTCATATTTAAGGGAGAGAGGGCTAAAGAGTGAGAGCCTGCTGCTTGCCTGACTCTCAACAGCCTCTTCCTCTTTAATGGTGGGTTTAAAACAGATAAAAAAAGGCCCCTCCCTATCAATAAGTTCAAACCGATCTCATTATGGGTAGAAGACCTAAAGTGAGATAGGTGTTCTAAGGTAGAAAGAAGCCTGAACTTAAGGTTGAACACACAAAATTGCCTATTTCATAGTTCAAAATTGGTCAACAATGTTCATATCAATCAACGTAATGGAACACTTGGAATGGAGTCTTGGCTCCAGCACCTACTAACTTTGTGACCTTGGGGAAAATCTCTTAATCTCTCTGAACTTTATATATGAACCTTAAATAACTAAATTTGCTGCACAAGGCTGTAAAAATTACAAAATAAAGCTCAGCAATAAGTATGTTTGTAAACTATGATGTGCTATATAGATGCAGATTGCCATTGCTGTTGACTTGAGCATAATTACAAAGTACCTGACTTTTTCCATCATCCCACATTCCCTAATTTTTCTGAATTATCATGATCACAGTGATATGTGTATTTCCCCGACTAAATGGTGAAAAACTTGAGGGTTTCTTGTTTACTTTATAATAGTAACCTCAGTAGCAAGAATATATTCTACATACAAGGAAGTTCAATACATACCACTGGACTAACCTGTTGGAATCAGAATATACTCAGACACAACATTAAGCATAGCTACAAGACTGGGAGGGGATATAAAGAAGGAGGCTATCCCCACGGTTTTGTTTGGTTTCTTCAAGAAAGGTAGAAACCATTTGGTTGTCTAAAAGACTGATGTCTTATCAAAAGACCCCATCCATTTCCAACTACACTGAGTGAGCAGTCTACTTTTCTTTGTTTCTCAAGTCAAACACTGTCCTAAACATATCTTCCCATTTTATTTTTTTATATCTCCCCATTTTAAAAAAATACCATGTAGGTCATTTCAAAAGAGTGTAAGCAAGTGTTTGCAATGACATTGATATTTAAGGGAGAGAGAGGGCTAAATGACACTACTTTTAGCAACATAAAAGCCCTATATATCTTAAATTATGACTCATCAAAGAGGAAACTGGTTATATTTCATTTTGTGTATACCATTCCATTGAAAGCTAAATGACCTAAGAAACTATTTCAAGACTTATTTGCATTTTCATTCGGGTAGTTTCTACATATATAGCCTGACAATGATGGCAAGTTTGTAGTTCTCTGTATAAATTGAGGTAGTGGTCTGGCTATAGTAACTAAATGAAAATCACACCCAAAAAAGGCAGGTTTTTGTTGGATAAAGAAGTAGTGGATGAAATGAAGACTGTAGTTTCTTTACACTGATCAAATTTACCAGATCATTCCCCAAATCCCCACTTAACTTTCTGCAGTGTGAATTCAGTCTAAATGATAGGGATTACATTCCCATAGGTAACATAGGATCTGCTGAAGTGCAGATCTGAAAAGACATAAGAGTCTCATCAAGTGGAACATGGCCTGGATATCGTGCCTGTCTCTGGTGAGCATTAAGTATCTCATGTGGAAGGTTGTATGCTTTACTTGTAGTAGCCTGGGGCTAGCTAGCCAAGTTCATCTTTGGGTAGGTTAATCTACACAGCCAGGCACTGGATCTACTCAACTAAATCACCTGTCAGGGAAATGTTCAGCAGATGCGGCTTAATTTTTGTAACTTAATGTTTGTTTTTCATGCAAAAATGCTGCAAATTTATGCCTTTTATAGGGATTAGAGTAGTTCTACTCATATAGTTCTGGCCCTGAATGAAAAATTCTAGTTTAAAAAGGCCAAGGTCAGCTGTCCCAGCTGAACTCACAAAAGAAATCTTCTGAGGAGAGACAAAATGGCAGCGGTATAGACGGACGTGTCCCGTGCCTTGTCCCGGAGCAGATAAGGTGAGCAGCTGAAACGAGTAACATAGCCCGAATTGGCAGAGTAGATTCAGCTGGGAGGCAGTTTGCAGCTGGGAAAGGCAGAGGACTCCAGGAGAAAGGGGACTGTTGGAAACTGCCGGATCGGGCTCCCCTAACCGGGCAGCCTCCACGCTGCTGAAATCTCTCCCGGAGTGGCTGGCTCAGCCACGGAGACCGCGCCATCTTGAGTGGCTGATATCGAAAGTGTATACATCCAGAGACCCTGCAACCACGGCATCCAGGGATCAGCTATGAACCCAGGAACACCGGATCTCAAGAAGCGCGAATACATGGACTCAGACAAGCCCTGCTCCTCCTCATGGAAAGGTCAGATTTCATCTAGATAAAGGTGTGGTTTGCAATTCAGATTGGAGAGAGGAACGCGTGCGGGGGAAGTCTGCGCCCCACAAAGTCCGCGGCCATTGGGGCCAGCGTGATCTGCAAGTGTGGAAGGGGTCTCGCAGGGCTGCTGGCAGAAGGGAACTCTAAAAATCAGCCCATAGCTGGACTGGGTGCAAAAAGGCAGCCTTGGATTTTACCAGTGTGCCGGCTGCTTAGTGCCAGGGGAGAGAGGACGTGCGGAAGAGACTGCGCACAGAGCTGGACTGTGGAGGGGTGCGAATTTGCGCACCTTCTCAGGCTCTTTTTTTTTCTCCCCCTTAAATCTTTGCGTTTGATTATTAGACTCAATACATAGGATCGCCCAATTGGGGTCACTCACAGAGACTGCAGGGGAAAGTTGTTTTTGTGGAACCTGGGAATCAGAGCAGGGAGTAACGACCAAAGAACCAGCTCTGGGGCGGTCGACTCTCCCAAACCAGTATTAAGTGTGATAGGGAAAACAAAACCTAAATACTGGCTAGAGAGGACTTATAGCCTTGGAGGTCAATCCAGAAACACTGCCACTCAGGGGCTGAACCACAAACTGACTCTTCTGTAAACACAAATAAAGGCAGTCTGGGAAACAGATACGGCCTACTTTAAAATCAGGACTGTGGTTTACAACACGGAGGAACAGTATATTGCATGTAACTTCAACACTCTCCTGAATATCTGACAGGACTAAGGCATGCCAAACAGAAGAGTAGAGGAAGTGAAGGATCTTCACTACTGCACATTATTCTTTTTTTCTTTTTTTTTCACCTTTTACTTAAGAAACTATTTTTTTTCTTTTTTCATTACCTTTTTAATTACTACATTTTTATTTTTAACCAGTATTATTACTACTACCA